GCGGGATAATCAGTCGCACATATTCCCTTTGATTTATTATCGATTTTCTATGATCAATATACATCCACATACATATCATTCATATAGTTTATACGTGTCCGTTTTGTTGTGTCTTGCGATCGATTTCAAGCTATAGAAAATCTATGCGATTTGAAATCAACGATAGGATCGTCGAATGAACGTTAATCCTTTAATACCTATTTCGAATTATATGGGAAATCCGTGCAATTAACCGAGTCGCATCGTTTCTCGTTATTGCGCACTAGAAAAATAAGCCTTTCGCCATTGGAAAAGATAAAATTTTCATCTCTCTATATATATATATAATCATATTTAAATTCCATAACAAATAGAATATTAATTTATTTTAAACGCATTAAATTCGATGGTGTAAAGAAAAAAAAAGAAAATTGTTCCGTCGAACGGAATGATATATTATTTTTTTTTTCCTTTAATTTTAAAGAAATTAAAAATTACATATATATATATATATTACACATATATATATATATATATATATATATATATATATTAATATAGATTAAATGCCCTTTTGTCTTGGTAAATTATTCGTCTGAAATGAAAATAAGTATGTAGGTATATAGCTTATATAGTAGGCAAAGAAAAATATACAGGCAATCAACCTTTGGTCCTAAATTGGTAGTAGCAAGATAAATGAAGGCGTTAGGGAAGATGCTAATTGCCATTCCGCGAGCGTCTCTAGAAGCTAAGGGGATAACTGCAACTCGGTTAGCATAACGAGACGAGTCGACAAATCCATTTTTACGACAAACTTGTTCGCCACGCGAGATGAATCTTGATATCAGTTGCTTTATCGTATGACTTATCGATCAGAACGATTGTCTAAATATATTCGTGTATATATATATATATATATATATATATATATATATATGAAAATTTCATTATTAATAATTTAATTTTTATATTCGTAAATATTAATGAAACGTTTTAAGTCTAATCGATTGATTTTTAAATTAATTTTGGCTCTTGAGTAATCGATTTAAAATAATGTTTAAATATGATTAATCGTAGAAGAAGTTGAAAAAAAAAATTAATTAATATTTAAATCAACGTTAACGTATTAGAAATTAATTAAAGCGATATAAATACGTATGTACGTATTTAAATTGAAAATGTAAGAGGAAAAAGGAAATGTAGGAGCTTTAAAAGTGCGTTGATAGAGAAAAAGAAAAAAGGTTATAATTTAGAAAATTTTTTTATAATTTGCTTATAGAAAACAAAATTTTCCTCCTTCTTTTTTTTTTCCTTGTTACAGATTCTTTTTTTATTCTTTTTTTTTTTTTTTTTTTTTTTTTACAGACCCTCTACAGAGCAACCATCAGCTGCGTCGTTTGGGTCCGCGCGTACGCGCCTTGAAATTGAACGACATGCAAAAACAGATTTACATCGGGATTACCTGCGATCCGATCGGTAAAGGAGCTCCGTGTCAATCAAAGTAATGGATAAGTATTCAGACGACGTGAATCCGTATTGATTGAATGCACGCTCGTACGTTTGATCATGGTAATAACAAGCGCGATGAGAGTTGAAAGGGACCATGACTGAAGCGTGTCAATTAAAGTTCTTAAGAATACCAGAAACGTAATCTTCGGGTCTACGATAATAAATTTAATTATTTTAAAACTGATAGAAAGAAAAGAACAATCATGCTAATTTATATCTTTTTTTTTTTTTTTAAATAAAGAAATCGATACAAATAATCGTAATAAAATTTACATTGATATAAAATAAAAGTAGTCATAAAATATATATATATGATATCCATCGAATTATAAATAATGCATATGCGTAATTTTTTTTTTTTTTGTATTCTTTAAATATAAAAAATATATTAAAAGTAAAATAATCAAAATGAATATAATGTATATAAGAATAAAATTTATAAGATGAAACTTCATCGTTTAACGCCTGTGAGATGCAACAAAAGTGAATTGCAACTTTGTAATTCTGGTTATCTATACGCAGGGGTATATACGTGAGAGAAAATAATAATATTTCTATACATACGTTATCACGGAAATATTCACGTTTTGTCTGAGAACAAACTCAAGTAACAAGCGAGAGAGAGAGAGAGAGAGAGAGAGAGAGAGAGAGAGAGATAGAGAAAGTTCGACTATATTGATAACACGATTACACGTACGTGAGAGTACACAAGTCTTGGGCACAACTCGATTAGCAGAATCCATAGTAGCGTTCCTTCGGCCGCAATAGAGAAATAAACGATCGAGTAGTAGTAATAGTATGAGAATATTCGTTTGACCGCAATCAGAAGAAGTTTGTTTCTATGGAAATTGCCATGAGCTAGACTCAACGAGGAATTATACAATCGATTATACCGTGATAATAAAACATTTTAATCGATCTTGTTCTATTCTCGTCTGTGTAAAAAGAATAGATAGAAAGGAAAAAGAAGACAGGAAAAAATCACGGGGGAAGAGGATTAAGGAAGAGGAATACTTACAAGAAAAAAAAAAAGAGAGAAAAAAAAGAAGAAAAGACGAAAAATAAATAAATAAAAAGAAGGAAAAGAGAAAAAAAGGAAAGAAAAAGAAAAGAAAGATATAAATTTAAACACTTTTAAATCGATCTTCGATATGATTTTTTGTTTGTTTGTTTGTATATTGTTATCTTTTATATATATTGAGGAGATACACATCGATAGTATCGATAATAAATACAGATTAGCATAGGAATGAGAGATGCGAATGATTTTAGGCTCGTTATCTTAAGTGCAATAAGTTTCCTTATAGAGCCTCTCGGTTTTCCGTCACGTAAAGGTAAAGGAGACACGAGGTCCACTCGGTCTTACACGTCGGTCACGTATTACATTATTGTATATGTAAGGAGCCTGTAACGTAACGTCGATAGGAACCTACCTGCATTCTCTCTCTCTCTCTCTCTCTCTCTCTCTCTCTCTCTCTCTCTCTCCCACCTCTCTCTGTCCCTGTCTCTGTCTCTCTCTTACTCTCTTGCTCTATCTACTTTAGTCGTAACGCGTTGAGATTACACGTGCAACCAATCGCGACCATGTCGCTCGCATCTGGCTTAAACATGTCGCTCGTTCAACAATATCTCGATATCTACGCTATGCTATGCTTCAAGCTCTTTTTCTCTCTCTCTCTCTCTCTCTCTCTCTTTCTCTCTCTTTCTCTTTCTCTCTTGCTCTTTATCTATCTTTCTATCTATCTTTCCATCTCACTCTTTCTTTCTTTCTTTCTTTCTCTTTTGGTTATCTTCTCGTGTGTATCTTTGACCGGCTTCTCCGGTTTACCTTCATATCGTGATAACACTTTCGTGTCCCGTCGAACGCAAACACGCGAGCCACCTTTACACGACCATATATATGTGTATATATATATATATACATATATATATATATATTTGTATAGCTGGGACGTGAAACAACCTGGACACGTACGTTCAACTTCACACTCTCATTGTCAGATTCTTCTGGTTCTTAGATAATATTCATATTTTCTAGGAAAATTTTCTTCATGGAAAAATGTGAAAATTTGTTTACGACGTTCAAATGAATACCTTTTGTTATCACGAGTTTTCGACTATGATTACGATAGAATATTAGTAAATAATAGCGGGATGGGAAAAAAGGGGAAAGGGGAAAGGGTGATTAAAGAAAAAGCATGGAAATATTCAGATTCGTTTGAAAATAATATAATGAACATTCGAATGAGAGATCACGTGAACATTAGAAATATTACATCGTGAATAAAAATAATATTGATATGTGACATTGTTTTATTTCTATTAAATAGAAAATAAAAAGATAAATTTTATCTTTCATTCTCTCGCGACATTTTTATCTTCTTATAATTCAATCGTTTTTCGTGAAAATATAATTGCCGTCGATGAGACGACGTTACTGATCAATTTAAAATTGATTTGACATAGATCGATAAAATTAAGAAAAATATTCATATGATCTTTATTCGTATTAAACTTCGAATTACACAAATCACGATTAATTTCCTATGAATAAATAAAACTCCTTGTAAATGTAAAATATTATCGTGACGCTATTAGCATTTTGAAAAATCACTATTACATAATTGATCCACGTACATCTTTGATTATCTTTCAATAATACGATCGAAAAGAAACTTATTCGATAGATATTCCTATGTGCTTATACACCTTTACGAACATATTTTGCAGATGTATAGTGTACTAAATTTAAAAACGTTTCAACATTTTTGATAAAAGAGGGAAGAAAAAGAAAGTGTCGAATACTTATCGAAGGATTGTGTAGTGTCGCAAAATTTTGTGATTTTCTTGGAATCAAAAAAAAAAAAGAAAAAGAAATAAATAAAAAACAAAAGGTTTGAAAGTTTATAAGAAATTTTTTAACAGCGATTTCTTTTTTCTCTTTTTTTTTTCTACGGTACTACATGCAAATACACGTAAGAATAAAAAAAAAAAAAAAGGAAAGAGTGTCTATTATTCAGTATCGGTAGATGTAGAACGAACAAGAAAAGATGAGAATAAGGAGAAGAAGGAGGAGGAGGAGGAGGAGGAGGAGGAGGAGGAGGAGGAGGAGGAGGAAGAAGATATAAAGAAGGAAATAAATAAATAAAGAAAGAAAGAAAGGAAGGAAAGGAAAGGAAAGAGGAAAGCAAAGACACGTTGGAAGGTATAAAGAAAAATAGAGAGCGAGAGAGACGACGAGTGTATGCCTCTGCATGAGTGAGTGAGTGGGTGGGTGGGTTGGTTGAGTTTAGTGCGTGCGTAAGTACATGCGTAAGTACATGGATGAGTGAGTGAGTGAGCGAGCGAGTGAGTGAGTAAGTGAGTGAGTGAGCGCGTGTGTAATCGTCGTAGGTTAGTTAAGTTAGGGGCACGCGGAAAGTGGGGTACACGGTAAAGACGATAGAGATAGCGCTATCGGAGGTGTTCGGTTGTTCTCGGCTAAAAGCCGATGTCTCACGAAGCGGACCGAAAGTAAAGCGCGCGGCAGACGGTCTTCGCGCGCCGAGCTCTACGGTCGTGATTCGACTCTGGCGATCGACTTGTTCACTTTTTATCTCATAGTGTGCTCCATAATTCTTAAATAATAAACAATTCATCGTCATTGTCATTATCTTTATCACAATATCATTGTCATTAAATATTATTATCGCCATCGTTATATTTTCTTTTTTATTATTAATAATAAATATCGTCAAAAGAGTTAAACGTCTTAAAACGTAATCGTTCGTGCTTCGTAGATATAAGAGGAAAAAAAGTATACACACACACACAAATATATATATATATACATATATACATATATACATATATATGTTACAATAATATATGTATATATATATGTAATAATAATATTGTCGTTCGCGCCTCGGTTTTGTTGCGACGCATTTTGTGTGATCGATCGAATATAAACAAACAAGTTTTTTTTTTTACAACTTCGTCCTACAATTCTGATCAACGGAAATTTTCTACGACTGTTGGGATCATAGAAAATATACGTTTCTCGTCGTTAATCATCACGGACATAAAAGAAAAAGAGAAAATAGAGGAGAAAAAAGAAGAAGAAGAAGAAAAGGAGGAAGAGGAGAGGAGGACGAAAAAGTAGAAGAAGTAAAGGAAGAAGAGAAAGAAGAGAGAAAAGAAGAAGAAGAAGAGGAAGAAGAAGAAGAAGAAGAAGAGGAAGAGGAAGAGGAAGAAGAAGAAGAAGGAGAAAAAAAAACAGTGAGAGTTTGGTGATGTGCGCGAAATCAACGAAACCAGCAGCATTCACGATGTCGTCGTTCCTCTGGATCATCGCCCTACTTTATCCATCGATCATTCAAGGTGCTAACAAACGTTTTACATCTTTTATCTCGTTCTCCTTTTTTCTTTCTTTTTCTTTTTTTTTTTTTCTTTTCTATATTATTTCTTTATAATTTTATTACTGTTACTATTGATGTTATTATTATTATTAATAATAATAATTCTATGGTTTTAAACGTATAACGTAATTGTCCATTTCGTTTTGAATTCAAAGAAATTCATTGAAGATACGTTTATGACGTTATATGGCAAAAACCATCGATCAACGCAAAATTAGAAACATAATTTTTAACATGTCGATGCATGAGATCGTGCGTACCTTGTAAAGATTAAATGTTATCGAGTATAGATGGATTGGGATAATTTGTGTTGGGGTGTTTTTTTCTTTTCTTTTTTTTTTTTTTTTTTTTTTTATTCTATCGAGAAAAATCGACAGAAAAGATGTTCTTCTTTTTTTTCCACGTGTATCATGCGATATTTATACACGTAAACTTGAATGTACTTGGTTAGAATCGGTACTAACGTATCTGACTCCATTATACGCCACATTGCGAGCGATGCTTTTTCTTTCTTTTCTTTTTCTTTTTCTTTTTCTTCAACTTGTTAATAATTAACCCTTCTTTCCTAATCAGAGTTAATTGCTTTATTCGTAAATGAACGTATCTCTTAGTCATTGTCTCGTTTAAATTCTTAAAGTTGCTTGTTACCAACATGATAATATATAGGATTAATTTCGTTCTTCTGTAATATTCATTAAAGATCCATTTTGTTTTTAAAGAAATTTTTCAAATTATTCGAAAATCTCTTTCTCTGTCTCTCTCTCTCTCTTTCTCTCTCTCTCTCTCTCTCTCTGTCCCTTTTTCTCTTTCTCTGTCTCTTTCTATCTCACTTTCTCTCTATACGAATTAACTGTATAAAGTAGATCGTAAAATAAGATAGACTACATTTCATGAAAGCTTTTTTATTATGGCAATTAAGCTGACTTAGGTTGTCTAGGAAAAAAAGTTGATAATTTTAAAAAGAAAGTTCTTTCTTTTTGAAAGAATTTTTTATTCATACTTTTCTTTATATATATATATATATATATATATATATATATATATATATATATATAAAGAGAGAGAGAGAGAGAGAGAGAAAGAGAGAGAGAAAGAGATGTGTATGTTTGGAATGTTTTTCTTTCTCGAAAAAGAAAGAACAAAAATAATAAGATAAGACGACGATAAATAAAAAAAATTTCTTTCAATTTTTTTTTGTTTCTTTCCTTCTTATATAAAACGTTCTGAGGTTTGTTGCGTTTTAAGCAATAAAAACGTATGGTATCGTTCGTTCGTTCGATTCGCGTTCCATTCGGGTGCGAGAGAGTACAACGTATAGGATAAAATGGAAGAAGGTACGAGTTCGATATAACTATAGCATAATCATAGATTATGCTGGAATATCGTCAGAGTAAGTTTACCGCTACGATCACATAATACTATTCTCTCTCTCTCTCTCTCTCTCTTTCTCTCTCTCTATGTATAAGATTCTTGAAGTCGTAGCATGATGGAATAAATGATAAAGAAGATGGAGAAAGTCGTTCTCGTTTGCCTGTCTCGTATATATGACATTATCGTAACCATAGCTTCGTTCTGCATATATATATATATATCGAGAACAAAAATAAATGGACAGGAATTGGAAGTAGATATCAACGAAATTGAATCGATCAATCGAACTAATGTTACGTACTTGAAGTATTATTAAATATATATATATATATATATATATATATATATATATATATGTGTATATAAAATATAAGTACATAGATTATCTAGTAAATAAAATAATTGATAATTTAATATTTACATTACTTTTGTATTAACAAAAATCAATATTAGATGTTCGTTCATATCGAAAAATAGAAAAATAAAAATGTAAGTGATTGATTAAAATGATAATATCACGTAATAGTTTGAACGGGTAGCTTTTGGTATCGTTTTCTTATCAGATCTAATACGAGAGAAAAAGATTTCATTATTATCATGTAAAATAATTTCCCTTGAAAAAGAAAAGATCTCTCTTTTTTTTTCTTTTTTTTTTTTCTTTTCTTTCTTTTTTTTCTTCCTTCTTTTTGTTTTCTCAAATAGATACGTGGGAATAGAAACAGTTGAGGGTAATAAAGAAGAGAGAAGAGGGATAGATATATGGATAGATAGATAAACAGACAGTAAGATAAACAGACAGATAGATAGATAGATAGATAGATAGATAGATAGATAGATAGATAGATAGATAGGTAAGGTATAAATGTAAAGAAGGAAAAATGCATCAGATCGATGAGTAAACGTTACTTAAGCCTCGCCAAGGAGTTAAGGAATCGTCATCGATTTATACGCTTTAGGAAACGTATTCAACATCATGGAAATGCGAAAGACAGAGATAGATATAGATATAGATACAAAGAGAGAGAGAGAGAGAGGTGTGAGTTTAATGGTGGAAACTTAGATCGATCGATCGAATGAACGAATAAACGAAG